TTGCTCTGCAGGCCTACTTGTTGTTCCTAGAGTATTTAAAAGTAGAATGGGAGGCAGAGCCTTCAGTTTTCAGGCCCCTCTTCTGTGGAACCAGTTTCCAGTTTGGATTCAGGAGACAGACACTATCTCTACTTTCAAGATTCAAACTTTACTTTCTGCTGAATCAGTTACAGTGTAGAGCACTTTGAGGTGACTTTGATTTGGCGCTGCATGACTTGAACTGAATTCCTCCTCGTGTCTCTCAGTGTCCGTCGACGGCGTGGAGTGGAATGACGTAAAGTTTTTCCAGCTGGCAGCTCAGTGGCCGACACACGTCAAACAGTTTCCTGTTGGAATCTTTGGATACAACAAACCCTGACCTTGCTCGCTCTCATCGTTGTCCAGATCACATGACCTCCCTGCGGACGCATCGTGTTGAGCTGCTGGTCATGATGGGCAGTAAACCTGTAACCCCTCCTCGTCCTCTCAGTGTCAGCAGAGCAGCAGAAACCTTGTTTGCCTTTTTCTCTCACATCATGTTGGAGTAGAAATACTTGTACCTCATCAGAAAGTTTTTTATGTGATGGATGTGTCTGACACGGAGTAAGTAATGCGCACATGTTTGTCCTGTATTAATATTAATGTTAATAATAGCATCTTTTATATATGGCTCAGATGAGTTGGTTAATTAGATTTTTAAGGAGTAGTCTTTCAGTGGAACTCATTAAAATTGGCCAGAGCCTCTGTTTGAAGTGACTCTGAACATTTCTGTAACAAAAACACAGAGAAAAAGATCCCAGAGGGGACAAAGGGTCCACAAAGAGACAAAAACAGCAGAGACAGCTACAAACATGCAAAACCAACGGTGTGGTGTGACTGTTTTAACCCTGTGAGGTCTGTCATCAAAGGTGCGAACAGCCAGGAACCCTTAGAGAAAGCTTTGTTGGAAAAGCTTGAATAGTTTTATATTCATGTCAGTTACAGTTACATAAACTTTATTTTGTGTCTTCAGAGAACTTTTTAACAAACAAAACCAAAAGTTTCACATTCTGATTCCTCAGAGAGCTAATGGTCATATAGAACCAACAGTCCTCAAAGCTCAGCCTTTAACCTTGTGTCATCGATGTTTGTGTTTTTTTCCGATGTTTGTGTTAGCAGTTTGTCATACAGTAGAGCTTTAACCCTTCACAGGGACGTTGGTTTTGTAAAATATCAATAAATACACCTGAAATTGTTGCTTTTCTCTTACCTGAGCTCCCTAACTGTGACCTATCGATGCACCTGTCAGGTTTACATCGCAGCCCTCGTTTAGTATAATACATGTATAATATTGTAGTATCATTTATAATGTTCTGCTCTTTGCTGACATGAAATTGATGCCTTGGATTTGAGCAGACATTTCTGTGATCCAGTCAAAGAGGAGAACGATTTACTGACACTCTACTTTAATACTTGAAACAAAGACACTGCATTATGAAGACGCAACTAATGTTTACATCACCCAAGCAGCCAATCACATGACAGAATTTTGTCTTTGCTAACAGATTTCTGTCATCGGTGTAGGAACTCACACTCAAGCATACATCGTTATTTCCTCAGTGTTTGACTCCACTGAACCAGCAGCTCAGGTCCAACTCAAGCCAGCTGGTGTTCACAGCATCTCTGATTAAACTCTCCCTTTATTCAAACTCAGTGCAGATATTAATGTAGGTGCAACACTACCCTCCGAGTCACCTAAAACACTAAAAGTCACTCCGGTTCTCCTTAATCGCCACGGCTACTCGTGATGTGGTTTAAAGTCCATGCACGTCAAAATTAAATAGTTTACATTAGACATCGCTGAAAGGTTCGGATGGATTTTTTACATGGTTGGGAGGTATGTGAGAATGAATGTAGTCACCATTGCTCAGCAGCCAGAGAACAGTTCAATATGGACACCAGAGTCAGTCAGTTTCAGTTCTCAGGGTTCCACTAGAACCTTCAGGGATCCTTCACAGCAGAAGAGAGTCCATCGGGTACTGTCGGAGCCTTTAGAAAGCCATCAAAGAGGTTTTGAGCCTCTCACTGAGGGTTTGCAAATATGTGACCCCAACCATGTGACGCTTACTTGTCTGCCATTTTGGATCATGGTGATACTGTAGAATCAGGTGAATAGTACTCAGGTCACACAGGCCTAGAGAGCGGCTGCAACCATCTGTTTGTGAGGGAAACAGCAGTATTTTACCACTGGTTGTAAGTTGTTGCTGGTGGCTGATGGCAGTTGTCGTGGTCTTATTACTTTAAAGGCAAACTTTCTGAACTTCCAGTGGGTGTTGCTGGGAATTTGCAAGGATTTGAAGACAAATGTGAAAAACTACATTTCCCCATGGCAACCTGGTAGCAACCAAAGCAATCACTCTGAGTTTTCTGGTGCAAATCTTTTTTTGCATCTAATTTCACCCAGTGAGAGGCAGAAATCACCAGCAACCACTGCAAATCAGTCAGGAAATAGACATTTTCCCACAGCAACCAGTGGTTGTATCACGTCTGATGTGGCAGACAGCTCTTGAGCAATGTGCACATGGCGTCACATGAGAAACTTCTGTACCTTTAGTAGAACCTTAAAGAACTCCGATATTCAGAGATAGGTGAAAAAAGAACAAACAAAACTTGTTAGAAACCTGTTGAAATGTTCATCAATCTAAACTTTCAGACAAGTAACAAATTATAGAAACTGCTAAGTCACTAGATTTTATTCAAACCCTTAAAAAAGCCACCCAGTATGATTGTAACCCCAACCCATTCAAGATGTTTTTTAAAATGTATTTTATTTTGTTTTATGTGCTCTGTCCCTGTTCATGATCATGATCGTGAAGAATGTGAACTGAACTACAGCGAATCCATTCAGGTCAATCCCTCTTATAACCTTTAGATATGCAGCAAATGTTTGACAATAGCCCACTGGTATATGCAGCAACCTAGAATCCAACAGAAAAGTCCTGAAGAGGGTCTGGAGTGGCACTGTTAGAAGCCCTTTACATGGCAGTAGGCTTCCAGGGAGGAGAAGACGATGTACATTAACCACAGGCTGAAGAACAAGCAAGTGGTGAGGATCTTTGGGATACGGGGTCCACCTAGCTCCCCGCCAATCTCCGGTCGGCGGCGGTAGATGAGCACAGCGATGCAGATAAAGGCGAAGATGGTGAAGAGTGTGACGGAGAAGGCCAGTGTGCCAGGGCTGACCTTGAACTCCTGACCTTGGGTGTAGTGGTAGACAGCAGCGATTGACCAGGCCACGCCAATACCTAGGAAGACATTGACGGCGTTGCTCCCCGTCACATTTCCAATGGAGGCATCGGCATATTGGTCCTGAATGGCTGCCACCTTACTGGCAAAGGTGTCTGATGATGAGAAAGTGGAGAGAAGATATGTTTGAGATAAAAAGGGCTTGATGCATGCTCAATCATCCAGTTAAAGAAATTCCCCAAAATTAATTCTGTTCATCTGGCTGTACAGAAGATACATAAAGGGCTATGCCTTTAAGACCAATTGTCTGTATGATCAACTGAGTCACCTATAACATCTCTAAGTTTCTGGCTTTGACCTTCAACCCTGCAGCTCTGAACACCACATCCAGAACACTTTGGATTTTGTTGAGAAGTTGAGAGATGTCATCATGGAGACAGATGAAACCATGGTCTCGTACGACGTTACATCTCTCTTCACTTGCATCCCAGTCACGGATGCGTTGGAGGTAATTCGTAAGAGATTACAGGATGACCCCAACCTCAGCAGCAGGACCACTCTCAGCATCGACCAAGTGTGTTTGAACTGTGTCTTCATTCCACCTACTTCACATACAAGGGTCAGTTCTACAGGCAGAAACATGGGTGTGCCATGGGCTCCCAGTTTCACCCATCGTGGCCAATTTGTACATGGAAGAAGTGGAAAAGAGGGCTTTGCTATCCTACCCTGGAACACCACCAATCCATTGGATGTGGATGACACCTGGGTGAAAATCAAATCTCAGGACGTTTCACATTTCACGGATCACATTAACTCGGTGGACCGACACATCAAATTCACCAGGGAGGATATGAACAGTGGCAGCTTAGCCTTCTTAGACTGTGAGATTTCCATCAGTAATGGGGGACATCTACAAGCTGACGTGTACCGTAAACCTACACATACGGATCAGTATTTAAGGTTTGACTCTCATCATCCACTGGAGCACAAACTGGGCGTCATCAGGACACTACAACACAGAGCGAACACCATCCCCACTGACACAGCAGCCAGGGAGGCAGAAGAACATCAGGAAGGCCCTGAGTAAATGTGGTTATCCCAGCTGGACTTTTGTCAAAGCTGGGAAGGCGCCTAAAGAAAGCTCCAGCTGATCCAGGAGAGAAGGACAACCGCTGCCCAAGTGAAAACCTGTAGTGATCCCGTACGTGTCAGGAGTATCGGAGCAGCTGAGACGCATTTTTTCTAAACATCAGGTCTCTGTGGCTTTTAAACCTCAAAACACGCTGCACCAAAAATGGGTCCACCCCAAAGATCGGGTCCCCCGACACAAACAGAGTAACATAGTGTACGCTGTTAAGTGCAGGAGGAGTGCCAGGATTTATAAATCGGGGAAACGCCTTGAGGCGACTTATGTTGAAGCGCCTTGAGGCGACTTATGTTGTGATTTGGCGCTATATAAATAAAATTGAATTGAATTGAATTCAAACAACCTCTGGCTAAGAGGACGGCACAACACAGAAGAGCCACCTCATCAGGACTCTGCAGTATATTCACACCTACAGGCCAGTGGACACTCTTTCAATGATGAGGATGTAACATCCTGGACAGGGAGGAACGCTGGTTTGAGGGCGGAGTCAAGGAGGCCATTTACGTGAAAAGGGAAAGACCATCTCTGAATCAAGGAGGGGCCTAAGGGTACATCCGTCACCATCTTACAATGCTGTGATTGCAGCCATTCCCCAACTCTCTGTGAGTGGGACTCATGGCCATTGGTCAGTGGTTGTTGATCATTGGTCATGAGAATTTGCATAATTAAGATTAAGGAGCTGACCTCCCAGCCCGTTGTTCCTCAGTGGGCTGGTTTCAGTCATTATGCAAATGTACTGTTTATAAGATTGGAAACCTGAGACTGAAGGAGTCACCTGATGATGATGAAACGTTTCTCCCACTGAAAACATCCAGATGAACAGAATCAGAACCTTTTGGGTTTTCATACAGATAGTTCTGATTTAATGTGCTGTTGTTTGTTTGCTGTAATGTTTTTATTAGGATTTGCCTTGGACAAAATCTGAAGGACTGAAAGTCCTAGTAAAGAAAACGAGATGTTTGTGTTAGACCTGGTACAGAAGTGCCCAAAGCGACGAACACCACAGCGGTGACTGAGTCTTTGAGGCCCACGGTGCAGCCGAAATGCGACGCCAGGTCTCCAATCACTGCCGTCAACATGCCTATGACAGTGATGGAGACAACAAAACAGGCCCAACCATTCCAGTAGTCTGTAGGAGGAACGAAGGCAAACAGAAGCTTCCAAAAAATGGTGAGGAAGTGCATGACGTAGTCAAAACAAGAGGGCAGCTTCTCCTCTCCACATTCATCATCATCACCTGAGGAGAGCAGAGCCAGGAATCAGTTTTAAAGCTTGGCTTGGGTACAGACTGGTAGCCCTTAATCAGGGCTTATATTAATGTTGGTTTTCATACCTGAAGAAGGACAGTTAGAGTTAGTTCATACCTGAGCTGACCGTGATGGCCTCCACAAACTGCTCCCTCCAGCTGTTGGTCCCAATCAGCAGAGCCAGGTTGGTCTTCTTAATGAGTTTATCTACTGTACTCTGAAACACATCCAGGAAACATCTAATGTCACCTTCACTGCCCTGCTGACCATTTTGAAAATCAGCCACCTCACTTTAGCTTTTTCTATCTGATGCTGAATTCTCAGCGTTCATTTCAGACGATGACAGCATCTGAAGTTCAGTCTGAAACTGTCGCACTGCCTGATGTGTAGAAGATAGCTGATGAAAGCCTACTTCAGATGTTCTCTCACTATCGGAAATTCTTCAGTTTCTGTGAGCATGATGCAAGGGAAGAGCGGACAGGAAGCAGGACCAAGAACCCATCGTGATCATTTCAGGCTCAGTCCGACTTGTGCCTTTCTATTACAGACTCTTTCAGGCTAAGGACTGTTTATAGACCAGTCTGAATGTGGTGAACATCTGCATCTGACATAAAACTCCAGCTCTGAATGTTTCTCCACTGTTCAGCGGTCAAGGCAGCATATTCTGCCTTTAAGGGCCTAAAGACGCTTCAAGCAGACATCAAGAAGAAGTCTTCGTTTTGCTGACTCACCACTAGCTAGAATGTTGCAGGTGAACAGTGTGCAGAACCTTGAGCTTAACAAGTATAGCTTCACAAACCAGACGCCATTAGGTTTCAAAGAAAATCTCTTATATGCATTTGACCATTTAGCCATTTATGTAGGACATACTGATGAAAAATCCCACATAAAAGGCTAGAAATGCCAGATGCTCCAGCTATTCAGGTTCCTCCTGGTTTAATGATGCAACTAAATGTCCGTTCAGTAACTCTGAAGGTAAAGCCATCAGCTCGACTTCAAAGGGAACAAAGTCAACATACTAGTCTTTCAGGTCACAGTCCAACATGCTATGTGGTAGGAGTGATGTATAAAATGTAAAGACAGTGTAGGGATTGGACTTCCTTGATGTTGGCAGGTGGATTTCTGAACTATCCGTTAATCTATGAGAGAGTTTTGGAGTGTCCTTTAGATCCGACTCGTCAGGCTAGTTCAGACTAAAGGACCTTTTTCTAATCACTGTTAGAGGAAGTCTCCTTTTTTATGTGTGCCCACATTGCAGGAACTATGTGGGAAAGTCCTTAGAATTCAGTTTTTGGGGTCATGGTACTCTCTTTCAATTAGTTATGTTAAAAACAGTTAGCGCTGAACATTTGAGGATTTTGTTGTTTTGTTAGTGGTACAAACAACAAAGTCCTGGTTGATCTCTTGGTGCTCTCTGATGCATAGTGGCCATCAGAGCTCCTCAGAACGGTTTCGTCTGAAAGGGGCTTACATATTTCACACTAACCCAAGAGAAACGTCTCCTACCTTGAACTCATACGACTCCTCGATGATCACCTCCAGTTTGACGTGTTCGCCCAGCATTGGCCTGCCCATCTCTGCAATCCTCCGCTCTTCTTCTTCTTTCTTTGTCAAAGGCTCCTCAGCCCCGTCCTCTGAATCAGAGAGGAAACATTAGGTTGTAGAGTCAACAAAAATATTAAGATTCATTTACCTTATAATGTGAGAGAGCAGCTATTTATAAATATGCCTATTCTTGATACAGAAGCCAATAGCTGTCACTTTATTTCTAATGGGGTTGAGTTGTTTTTTGAGAGAGATGGTTGAATTGCTCTCAGTTCTCACTAAAGATTTCCCAAGAAGACGTCTAAACCCTGACAGTAAAGAAATGTTGGCCAGTCAAAAGCCCACAATCAATAACACGAGTTTTCTCAAAGCTCAGCTCTCATTGATACCCGTGTACATATGAGCGTTGCCTGTCCTGATCAGAGCTACGAAAATAAATGATCATAATGGTTCGTTTGACACTGTGATAAAAGTTGGCACAGTAAAAGATAGATGATGGGCAAACCTGCGATGCTGATGATGTTGGAGGGGACGGGGTGCTCTCGTCCCTGGACCTTCCTGTAGATGTCTCTGCCTGAACAGGTGAACAGAAACTGAAACCAGAACAGGGCTGAATCATCACAGCCTGTATCCAGCACCAAGCTGACGGCTTGTGTGTTTAATGTGCGTCTGTTCAGAGGGACAGAATCTGTAAGTCTGTGAAATGTCACAGGTGTTTTTGTTTAGTAATAGACTTCAAAAATCGGGATGAAACGTGTGTGTTTGCTGTTCAATCTGGATTTATGTTCGTGGGATGCTTTTCATTAATGAAGGTTAGTTATCATTCAACCAGTGCAGGTTAGTTAAAAGGTTAGCTTGATGTCTCTCTACCTCGGCTCATGTGGGAGATGTGGAGACTTAATTTTACTGGATGGTAACTGTGCGCTCGGTCCACAAACGGCATTTTGCAGCTGTGAGCACGTGAACAGTGACAGGCTTACTTCTTTTGTACACAGTCTATGATCGCACCATGGGGCTAGCATCGTAGCAGTGTTCGCCTAGGCTGGCTGTGCTGAGCAATATAAAGGGTGTGCTTTACCATCAGCACATGCCGGGGGGCGGGGTTACACCCACTCTGCTTACACGAGCAGAACACTGACGCTCACACCTGCAGCTCCTCCTCAGGTGGGCATTCAGGTGGAGGGTTGAGCGTTAGACTAACGGACAGTTACAGAGGTCATGTGACGCTAACAGGAAGCAGCGAGGAGTGAAAACAAATCCTGTCTGCTGACGGCAGTATTATTTGATGTTTTTAAAATATTGATGAGCTGTGCTGCTTTCTGAACTGAAATAATAATAACAGTAATAAAATGACCTCCCTTCGCCTGGTTCTGCCGGAGGTTTCTTCCTGTTAAAGGGAGTTTTTCCTTCCCGCTGTCGCCAAAGTGCTTGCTCATAGGGGGTCATATGATTGTTGGGTTTTTCTCTGTATCTATGAAGCGCCTTGAGGCGACTTTTGTTGTGATTTGGCGCTATATAAATAAAATTGAATTGAGTCTGAGATTTAATTTAATGCTGTTTAAGACTTTTTTAGTAAACGTTTGTGAGAACCTGCAGAGAGTCTGATTAAATGATCCCTCTTTTATTCTGAAGGTCTTACCTTCAAACATTCACATTAATGATCACACTGACGGTTCAGCATCTCAGAGCGCTGAGGACCTGTTTGTGCGTATTTGAGCATGCTCAGTTTGGTTAGAAATAACCTTCCTTGTCTCACAATTTTAAGGCTTCCGGAAACCTCCAGATGTTTCCTAGTCAGGAAAGAGTCTTCTCTTCACTGATTGGCTCAAAACAGGTGATTTTTTGGCACAATAACAGGCTCTAAAGCTCACGTGTTGTCTGTACACTGTAGAAATGGTGACCTCAGCATCAGCCGCTGATCTGAGGCGTCCACCTGATGGCCGCCTGATTGGTTTTTGTGTGACCATATTTAAATAAGAGGGCGGAGTCATAAGGTTAGTTAATGGCAGCGAGGTTTTTGGGTTGTTACAGTAACTAGAAGTAACTACAGTAGTTAGAAATTCGAAGGCCAGGTTTTGCTGTGAGCGAGTCTGAGACAGTTTCTGCTCAGATTTCATGTTGGACACTCTGAAGGTTCCTCGGGGAAGCGTTTGATCAAAGGTTAATGGATCTTAGAGAAATTTCTGCCAATCACAAGCTGTGAGGAGCACACGTGTTGTCAAAGTGGTGAGGTGCAAAGCCGCCGTTTCCTGCAGGTTTCCCATCATCTCCCAGGTTTAAGTCCTTCTTTAAACGTCTGTCATCGCTGCCTTGGAGAAGCAGCTGATGGTTCAGACTGACACAGAGACGGAGCCTGAAGTTGTCGGGAGCTCACGTCACAGAATTTCAAGCTTGGCGATTGGATGGTGAAATGAACTCTGGGAGTTTGAGGTGGATGAGTGTAAATGACCCCAGAGAGGATCGCTGTTTGAGGGAAAGCTGAATGGGATCGTTCCTGCAGGAACCACGGAGGTCACGCCTTCACAGAACTGAATGAATGTCTTTCCAGATGTTTTCATCTGTATTGTGTCTCAGCTAGGACACAATACCAAAGACAGGCTTCATTTAGCAAACAGCCATTGCCCTCTCATCCCACTGTGTCTGACGCTGCCTGTGTCTAATCCTTATGTGAAAGATAAGTCCTGACATCGGGTTTCTCCTGTTATCCCTCACTCATTAGCTTCAGGAACTAAAAACCTGCATGGTTAGGTTCAGGGAAAGCTTGTGATTGGACGAAAACATTGCTTTGCATCAGGAAACTGCTCGTTCTGCACTGAGAGCATGTCTCACGCTCAGCCAGAAGTCTGGAAACAGCCGGCCTGACAGTCACACCTGCTCTTCCAGCTGCTTTGGGATGATGATTTTTTAAATACTCGCTGATGTGTTTGACTTAAAATGTTATTTACTATAATTTCTCTTCTATTTCCACCAACTTCATTAAAGTTGAGACGCTCTGTGGCTCGGCGAAATAACAGGAACGATGGTGTTGCAGCGTGCCGATGGACGCCATGTTTAAATTACCCTGAGCTTCTTCCCCTGCGTGATGCCCTGAAAGAAAACATAACAAGAGGTGCGCTGGTGCTGTTTCATCTGTGATCACGATGACGCACAGAACGGGTCAGGGCATTTCAAATGCTGAGCATAGCCTGTACGTAAAAGATGGACTCCAATTCTGAAGCCACTTTGCAGTTATTTATTTGTAAAAAATGTTTGGAATCATGTCCGATTTTCGTTCCACTTCTCACGTGTGCACCACTTTGTGTTGGTCTTTCACGTGGAATTCCAATAACATTGATTCATGTTTGTGGCTGTAATGTGACAAAATGTGGAAAAGTTCAAGGGGGCCGAATACTTTTGCAAGCCGCTGTAGCTAGGTCCACTCTGTGGCGGCGTTCAGGACGCATGCAGTCACATGACCAGCTCTACGCGGGATATGCCAATCACCCGTCGCACGTTGGTGACCATAGTGAAACACAAACGCTTCTCGGGCCTGGTGGAGCAGCGGGAACGGGCTTTGGTCTGTTTGTAAATCTGAGATTCGGGGCTTCGTCTCAGGCGCCCGACGTTTAAAGGTGATGAATGAGAGTCACGTGAAGAGCTTACAAGGCGCTGCTACCATCGTACACGTTGCTTTAAGTGTTGACACACTTTGAAAGCCAACATTTACACCACTGACAGGTATCTTACCATATAGCTGTTTGTCTATCAAAAAGTCACAAAAAGCACAAATTAACACACACATACAGTGGATGCTCACATGTCAGATATCGTCTCACTGCTGGCTTTCACCTACCTGTCTTAACGAATCCACCTGAAAGGACAGCAAGTACGAAACAGGAAGTCAGAGTTAGTCATTTGGTTTTGTGGCAATTCTTAGAAATCATGAAAGCGACACACATAAACGGTTTGCAGACAGGAAGGGGACAAAGAAAGCGGCTTACCGACTTCCTGAAGCAACACAGCTGAAGAGAAGAAAGAGACGAGAGAGACATGAAGCAGAAGTGACATCAGAAGGTCTCTGTTTGACACACCCGTCCTCGATCTGGACTTCATGCTGCTGAACTAACGCGTGACAAACGTGACGCCAATGACGGTTCGAGCGGTGGTCAGCTGTTAGTTTACTGTTACATCTAACACAAATTTAAAGTGTGCGATTAACACGGACACGTGCAGGTTTCATATGAGAGTCCAGGCTGAATGGACCTGACCCGTCCTCCCCAACCTGCCAGCATCACAGCTCGACCGGACACATCCGCATCTGTCCACACCTGGACCAACAAGGAAGCGAGAATCTCTCTCCTAGCCTCTCCGGGACTAAGATAAGACGAACTAGCATGTTCTAGTGAGGCGAACTGGGCGAAGACACAAACTCCACCAAAACCACCTGAAAACCCAGTGAAACACCCAGGCTGCCTCAGTACACTCAGGGAAATGAAAGTGGGCGGTTGTTACGTTTAAAAGATTCAAACTGGTAATCTGAACAAAATAACTTCCTGTTTCTGTGGTGACCATAATTCCAAAGATTTGAGACCACGGGAAAATCACTGGAGTTATAAGAGGCAGACGACCACACAGACGACGTGTATGCTATCGCTCTTTATTGTGGTTTAACCTGTCAGAGACAAAAACGTGCAGCAAGTTGTGTATCGAGCCTTGTGATCAGAACCTTCCTGCTGTTTTTAAGCCTGGACTGACAGCTCAGTGGCACAGCGGTTACCACTGTTGCCTCACAGCAAGAAGGTCCTGTGGTCAAATCCACAATCTGGCCGAGTTTGCAGTGGGTACTCTGACTTCCTCCCACAACTGAAAAGTTAGGTTAGTTGGTGTTTCTAAATTACCTGTGAGTGCAAATGGTTGTCTGTCTCTCTGTGTTAGCCCTGCGACTGAATGGTGACCTATCCAGGGTTTGCCCCGCCTCTCGCCCTATCACGTCCGGATAGGCCCCGGTAACCATGGTAAAAGTGTTTTTACGTTAAGTGGCCCTCGAGGCCTGGAGTTGGACACCCCTGGTCTAGAATTTGTTGAACACTCTAAAAAATTAAGTCTTTAAATGAACTTAATGAAAAGGATTTCCACATTAATAAATGGCTTTCTGTCAGCATTAGGCATTTTTTTCAGACTAACATCATTTTCATGGGTTGGATCAACTTAAATAAATTAAGTTAGACTCAACTGCAGTAAATAAGTTGAACCAACTCCATTAAGTTATAATAACAGCATTGCATAATGCTAAAATAAAGCAATTTAATCACATGAAAATTCTTTCCATTACTTGTTCATGTTATTCAATTCAGTCCAAAGGAGTTTATTTAAAAATCACAAATCACCACAGCAGTCGCCTCAAGTTAAAGACCCTGCAATGAAAACCCAACAATCATATGACCCCCTTTGAGCAAGCACTTTGGCGACAGTGGGAAGGAAAAACTCCCTTTGAACAGGAAGAAACCTCCAGCAGAACCAGGCTCAGGGAGGGGCGGGGCCATCCAAGAGCTGTTAAACGCCACAGGCGACCTGGTTACACGTGCCTTCACATCACAAACCCGACGAGAAGAAAAAGCGACACCGGGTGTTCGCCATAAACGTCTGAGTGAACGGCAACAATACTGTGTGAAGATTTCTATGAACCCGGAGAAAAGAATCAATGCGTTGATTTTGTTGTCGCCTTATATATCGATAAAGTTGACTCAAACTGTCCTAGCACCTCTCAGCACTGATAATTCAGTCTGGAACAATAGGACGCCAGCTGAGGGCAAAGGAGTGACAGCAGCAAAGACAAACTCCACAAAGACAGGCAAAGGAGGACAGGTCAGAGGTCGTCAGAGGTTAAGGTGCCCGTCCACACCTGTCCATCTCCTCCTGTTCCAGTACGGCTCCTGCAGCTCTACGTAGAAGCTGGCATTCTTATCATACTCCTCGTGATCGATTATTTTAATGGCTATGATCTTCCTGTGGGGGGAGGGGGGTCAGAGGTCAAGGGTCATGCATTAGTTCACACACACACAAACACAGACACCTTGTCTGCCTGCTGGGATGCAAAAACATGATTAGCTCAGATTAATAAAGGATGAGCTCAACTCAAACTTCCCCGCACTCGTTATGACATTAAACACCACATCAACAGGGCTGACTGAGGTCAAAGGTTATCAGTGATATAGAAGGGGTCAGGGTTCAGGAAGGCGACACCCCCCCACCTTTCCTCTCACTCATCTCCAGCAGCCGAGGCTCTCCGATCTCCAGGAAGAAGTTCTTGTTCTTCTCGTACTCTTCGTCATCGATTATATTTATCCGAATGGTTTTGCTGAAACAGAGAAAAGCCGGAAAGAGAGTTTGCAGAAGGAGAAGCGTGCAGAAGCCCGAGACACGGCAAAAGGAGAAACACGGCGGGCAGAGGGAGACGCCGCCGACATTTACACACACACACCGCGTGACCTCATGTTTCTGTTCGCCGGCACCGCTTCGTACGAACGTTATGTGCGCAGCTCTCTGAGCTCCAACCCTAAACCAGGCCAGTACTATGCTTAATATTTATGACTCCAGGAAATCAAATCTGAGTTGTTCAGGTGAGGCAGCAGAGTTAGGAGTGTGAGGACGCACAGAAGAGAGTCAGTCATTTCTGAATTTCATGTGAAACAGAGAAGACGAGAGGACGGCGAGGAGATCTCATGATGACACAGTTTGTTTGTTCGGTGTTGGAGGCGGAGCTGGAGGCTACAGCAGGCCGTGTGTGTGTGTGAATGGAAACTGCATCCACTCCCATGTTTATTTAATGTGAGCAGATTGATGCTTTGGGGCTTTCTCAGTGATCCAAGGACACGGTTTGTTTGGTGTCACAGTTTCAGGACACTTTCAGCTTTGTGGATGTTTGAGTTTCAGTTTTATTCATCCAAAGAATCTGTAAATAAAATAAAAGCAATAAAAGAACCAAAGAACTAACAGACAAAAGAGCTGATTTAAAACCAGTAAAGTATAAATCATCATCAAACTTATCTGCAAAGACAGAAGGTTGTTTGGGATCAGCGAGGATGACTTAGATCTCACTTTGTGTCGATTCATTATTATTTAACTTTTAAGTCATCTTTGAAGAACCTGATAATGCAGATTACAGTTACTGCTGCTCATTTTAATACTCGTCTGTTTGTTTCCACCTCGAGTATATTTAGTGCTGGTTACAGATCGACCATGCTACCATGGAAGGAGTGCCCAGGTGATTCTCAGGTGGAGGTAAATCTCACAGCACCATAGGAGCACCTTCTGTTCCCTATATCCTGCACACAAGACTCTAAAAAGTCCCATCAGAAGGAAACAGCTGGAAGGACAGCTGGACAGGAAAGGACGGGACAAACGTGGACACTAACTGAACCCGCCCGGCCGAGACTCTCTGCCGTAAAGCTACAACCACACTCACAGCTTTGCCGTAAACCAAAGAACGCGCAGAGAATCGGACGTCCACGGCGCGTCCTCAGATATTAACTGTGTAAATGTGAGGTCTCTGTGTAAACAGGACTGAAAACAGAAGCTCATAAACTCATTTTATCAAACACAGAAACACGTCACACGTTAAAGCTGACAAAATGAGCTGTTCTGAGATCAGTTTTAAAGCAGGACAGCAAATCTAAACTGCGGGTTTAGCATCGTCTTGCTCCATCACGAGGTGCACAGGCACTGACACGCCCCCATCAGAGCTGCAGGCTGATGTTTGGTTGGGTCTGACCTCAGATCAGTTTTAAAGGAGCTTTGGAGCTGTAACTTGTATGTATGGAAGACACGCTGAGCTGCTCACAGACGCTGACTTCGCAGGTCGGCGACCCTCTGCCTCTCTAAGACGGCGGTTTGATGCTGTGATCGCGCGTCCTCTTCCTTCACCTGTTTCTCTTTTTGCAGAATTTTTTTAAAGTTGTTGCCATGAAATTCAAAATGACCTCATATTTTTCTAACAATGGAAAATGTTGTCAGTTTAAAGCTTTGATTCGTTGTCTGTGTTTTATTGTAAATAAAATAAGCATCCTGAGTTTTGTGCATCTGGGTTGTAAAATCTTGAAAGCTGCTTCGTTGCAGTGACAGAGCATGAATGCACCAAGGAGCTACAAATGGAAACGCTCTCCGAGCTGCAGAGGTCTGTGTGATTTACTGCCTCTATAAAAATCAGAGATTACATATAAACTCTACGTAAGTCAGCTTTTTATCACTGCAGAGGGTTTCTGTGGAGGAAGGAGAAGCGAGATAAAAAGTACACCGAGTCTGCAGACGTGGCCGCCGGCCAGCAGCGACCTCCCCCGTCGTCGGCCGTGACAGGAACAAGCTGCAGTGATGTGTCCGCTTTATGGGCTGATGCTGCGACGAAGAGCAGGGACGAGGTGCTGCTGCCTGAACGCGGGCTGGCCTAATAAGGAAGAGAGCAGCGTGGTGTTTATCTGCTCCGCACAGCAGACAGAAGACATCTGACACACTGAAAATCCCCCACACCTCCAGCCGCCTGAGAAAAGATGGAAACATGAGCGAACATCCAGCATCCGTGCAGCAGGCAGCTGCAGGCCGCCCCCTTAGCGAGCCGCTGCCATGCAGAATGCAGGTGTGCACACCTGCAGCAGCTGTTACGTTTCAAATCATCACACTTTCACTGATCCGGCATCCGACCACACACCGCCATGATGTCACAGACTGCTTTGACTGGCAGCGACAGACACCTTACACCAGGGCTGTCAAACATAAAGCCCGGGGGCCACAATCGGGTCCCCTGGATGGCTTTGGAAAATGTGAAGGAGGGCATAAATTGTTGGCTGTATTTGAATACGTTTCCTGCCACGCTCATTCACGCTGCACCAACGTGACAGAAAACACTGAAAGTTGTGTTGCCGTCTACGACACAAACGTCCTTAATGAGAAAAAAGCTTTTTCTGTGAATTAACTGAAACTTAATGTTTTATAATTACAGGAGAGTCTGGCCAATGACAGAAGGCCTAGTTTCACTGAGCCCACCCAATCAGGAGCAGAGATGGGCAGTAACTGTAATCTGATTACTTTTTTCAGGTAACGAGTAAAGTAAAGGATTACTATTGCAAAAACAGTAATTAGATTACCATTACTTTCCCGTAGGAACGCTGCGTTACTGCGTTACTAAAACCGTGATTTTTTGCGAGAACGTCTCATGACAGTGACGTAAGCGAGTGCGACGTTCGTGACAACAGCTGTGTGCAGATCAACAGTGGATCATATATGGAGTGCAGAGAGAGTATGAGCGTGCAGCGTTTAAAGCGTGGAAGTACTGACCTTACTTTGAGTTTGATTCCATAAAAAGTGACAAAAACATTAGTGTCCGCTGTGCGTGGGAAGAAAACTTCTTTTTACAGCGAAAAAACCCCTAAACTTCCAACAAGCACCGAGTAGCTACGACGTAATGGGAAACTCACAGAGAAACTCGCGGATTCTTCCACTGACCGCGGCACACCTGCACCAGGGTAACCCTCCGCCTGCCCCACTCCTGCTTTACAGGTGAAAATAGAGCAACAGGACCGCTGAGTCTTTGACTTTATTTATTTTCTGCTGTGTTTTACTTGCATCTATTTGAAAGACTGAGTGTAAACACAAAAAATATTTTATTTTATGTGCTGGAATGTGCAGAAAATAGGTTTAAATGTTAAACTGATTTCTTCCAGTCAGAGAATGTTGCAGATAATTACATTTTTGCTTGATGCATAAAGTTAAAAGATTAAAACTAATAAAACAAGTTTTAAAAAGAGACTTTTCCATTTGATTACATTTTGTATGATGATTATGTAGAAAAAGTAGAATTGGGCTGAAAGATCTATCGCTTTATCACCTCTTCAGGTTGTAAATCGTGTTTTTAGAAAGTAACTAAGTAATTAATTACTTTTGAAAATAAGTAATCAGTAAAGTAACGGGATTACTTTTTTGGGGAAGTAATCGGTAATTAGTTCCTGATTACTTTTTTCAAGTAACTTGACCAACACTGATCAGGAGTGAGGTGATGTCACACATTCGTTTGACACAAAGTGAGCATATTTGGAGACATGGGTGGAGTCATAATGTAGTTTGGCAGTGAGAAAAGTAACGCTTTATGTAGCCTTGACACCGCACGGAAAGAAATAACAAGGAAAGGAAAGGAAAGAAGGAAAGACAAAGAAGGAAAGGAAAAACGGAAAGGAAAGAAGACAGGGAAGGAAAGAAAGAAGGAAGGGCCCGGTCTCTGCTCTTCTGTTGGAGCCGTCATATCGCTCCTTCCTCGCGTTGACAAAAACCGGACACAGGAAATGCTACGGCTGCCTCGGTGATGGCTACGAACTATAAACTGGTGCAATGATGCCAGGACAGCAGACACATTCCAGGAAGAGTTTCATATGTTTAATATCTCATCATTTACTGGATTGTCTGACACCTAGAAGAAGGTGATCCAGATCAATCACGTGTCGGAGGGCCAATCAGAGCTCCGCCCTCTCAAACACATCGAGGGTGCAGCTTCACAACGCGTGACCTGCTGAGGCGCAAACACCGCCGTCCCCACAGACAGCTGTTTACAGCCAGGGGACACCTGCAGGGTGTGACACGCATCGAGTCACGCTGTAACATAACCACAAAGCACACAGTGGCTGATTTGCTGGGCGCCATCACATGACCTGACAGTCTGCCTGAGGCAAAGCAGACGCCGCCTCTGGGAAAAAGAATCACTTGGATAAGACCATCAAATGTTCCCGTCAGGACGACTGCAGCAGCCCTTCACCTGGATCACCTGTCCAGCTGTTTCAACATCACTACATCAGCTGCGTGTCAAACTGAATGCCATCGAGCACGTTCACCGCCGCCGTGCAGCGTGCAGGCGTTTGTGTACCTGACTCGCTGCAGCTTTGATGGATGCAAGCTGTGCGGCTTGTCCTGCTTCTGTCACTGGAGGACTTTCCTTCAAACTCACTGAGCAGCACACACAGTGCTGACGGGGAGGCGTGCAGACTGACGGTGCGCCTAATAAACTGACTATAAACGACCCGCCTGCAGCCATCTGTCTCCCGGGTGACTGAACGCAGCCTAAAACAGGACGTGCCGTGGAGCTCGGAGATCCTGCCTCTGCTGCGATAACTCCATCGGTCTATATAAGGCTGCGGCCGCAGCGCTGCCAGCGCCCTCATTAATAAACTCAAACACAGGACGAGCGAGGCAGCGTCTCCATTCCAGCACGCCGTCCTCTTCCTTTCGCGGATATAAATGTTTTCATTTGAGACGTGGAAAGAGTCGACCTGCAGCCACTATGCCAGGCATGTAAGGCTGAAGACACAAGTCACGTGACTGTGTGGAGGCGGAGTTACACTCAGACCGAGGTACAAGAGCTGTGAGGCGTTTCGCTCATTTTCATCGTGACCTACGACCTCAGCACCCTGAGTGGTCAGCAGGATTACTCTACCTAAACACAGTAGTTAGATTACTTCTACACATGGTGTGCCCCAAATGTTTGATGTAGTTTTTTAACTTGTGGTTTTATATTTATGCACGGCAGCCCAGCTAGCCCCGCCGTGTGGCTCCACACCACCAGCAACCTGTGTGT